GATCTCACCTTCACTAAAAAATTGTTGCTACTACTTCAAACGTTTGAACACAGACATGCTTATATATCTGTAAGGTGGAGTGAGACCTTGTAGTATTCGTTTCCCTTTTTTACATCCACAATTTCTCTTGGCAGAGGATGTGACATTATTACACAATGCATAACTGACTGCTGAGACGCATTCGTAGAGACCTTATTTTGATGACCCAGCAGTCACGGCTTCTGAAAAAGTAGAGTTTGCAGGGAAGTGAGTGTATGGTATTTGTCATCTGTGTGTGGTTGACAATTGCATTTGTGGTGTTTTGGCATTGACATCAACAGAGGTCAGGAAGTCAGCAAGCATTTTAGTGCAAAAATTAACAAATAACAAACTCTTCAGATTTTATGACAAGAATTTCGTAAAGAATCTCAAAACCAGAGAAAGACTAAGGCGCAAAGGAGCACGCCACTGGAAAGGTTATGTAAACAATAACAGAGAGGATTAATAAGTTCTGTAATTAGACAAAAATGCTTACTCTTCCTTGTGGGACGTGCTCTCTTCAGGAAACTGAATTCTTTCAATGTGAAACAGCAGTGACTCTACTTTGAGCTCCTCCCAGATAACAGACTTTTGAAAAAATCTCATTTCTAAAGCCGAATCGAGCCACTCTGTGGAAGAAGGTTATTTCAGTAGTTTACGTCCAGAATCTTGTTCTTTCTGATGCATTTGGAACCCCAAATTTACTAAACCAGACAAGCTTCATGTCAAGACCATGAGGACAATAAACAGTGCAGTTGACAAGAAGTAGCCTTTGTGGACTTCAAGTCGCTGCTAATAAAAACTCTACTTTGTGTACACGGCTATTCCTTTGGGGATGTGAGGACTGGAGAGTCCATCACAAAATATTTCAACCTGCATAGTAGTAAGCCTTCTTCAGATCTAGAAAGTACAAGGAAAGAAACAATAAAACTCATCGAGGTGAAGAGCTGCTCTACTTTCCATGCCAAGTTGGAACGATACTGCCCAACCCCCCAACTTAAAACAGGGACTGCAACTTTGATCTGCCACGCCATAGGTGGCAGATCACTTCTTCATTTGACGTCAAAGAGACTTATCAGCCATGACAACACTGGCAAAAATACCTGAAATTAAAAATAACTTTCTAGTAGAGGTTAAAGCTGAAATGTAAAAACATTTACAGTATCAAAATATATGTCCTCTGATCTTTTTGCATCTTCTAGCCAAGGGACTGAAATCCTGAAATAAAAACATTGGTCAAGACTCATCTTTTCCCACTGCACCCCAAGACTTATAAAGTAATTCACCTATCATCACCTGTGCATAAGCTTTTTATTCAATCCGTTAAATGAGCGAGATTCAGATGCAGCGTTCAGTGAAGGCTGCCCCAAATGGTCCATTCATGCTGCTGTTGCCATGGATTCGCAGGCCAAGGAAACTGGCAGACACAGACACTCATAGAGAACCAATGTATGTCACCTTCGGTCTCTCTGCGAGAAAGCTGCATTTGCTTCCTTTGATAGGCTTTAACTTCAAGTTTAATGAAACCAAGAGGTGCAGTTGAAGTTTTAAGGTCTCTGTCCTTAAGGTCAATGAGAAGCCAGACTTAGATCTGATAGATGCGTAGCAAATCCTGTGAATTATGTCCAGTAGCAACTATACAGACTTTTGGCTCCCACAGTACTTCATTGTGCTTTGGCCAGGATTAAAGCACAGATGGGAGCTCTGCATCTTCCTTTGGCTGAGAGGATACCACCAAGGATGACTGAGTGGGACTGACACTTGGATCCTGAGCCAAGAATGAAAAAAGCCCTAATGGATCCTCTGTTCTCTGTTTTCTCCCCTTACTCTCTCTTTTCCACATCCATTTATTCCCTGTTAAGAAGGTTCAGATTAAGCGAAAAGGCCACCTTTTTTGAGTTCTTTTTTGTCCGTCATCTTACAGATTCAATTGGGGGAGATCTATCATCCCTTCCATTGTGTGAATGTTAAAAACATATTGTACAGTCGCCACAAGTCACTCTACACTTCTATATGTTGTATTTTTCATTGAGTTAGACTTACTTGTGGTGTCTTAAATTTGTTGTGATTAGTTTTCTTGGGTTTCAGATTGGATTTGGAAAGTTGACTGCTTTTACACTCACCATATTTTGAGGAGTGTTGATTATTCAGCCATTTAAAATTGTCTATAAATCTACACATTCACCCTGATACTTTTTCACTTTTGTCATTTTTGTTAAGTACACAGTAGCCTACATGCTATCATTGCCAGATACAATGACCTAGCTGAGATTAAGTGAAAAAGCATGCTCCAGTGTCATGACAGGGGAGTCTGATGGGGAGCATGGCCCCTCTTTTGTTTCTGGGAGCTTGTGTCATGTTGCAGCATAATAGGTTCCTGGCTTGCAGCCTGTGGCTATTGGGCATGTTCAGAGTTGGCTGTGAGCCAGCATGGTGGGGTTACTACTCTGTAAACCTCTCTGTGGCTGACCGATCAGGAAGGATGGCACGGTGACTTTCCTTCCTTGATCTCCCTGAGTACTGGCTGTTGTGGATTGCCAGAGATGGTTATGGGGGATTTAGTACCCAGTGTTTCTCTCTGTGCCTCTCAGGCCTGGGGTTGTGCTTTGCTGCCCACCTGCCTCTGTGTCATATGGCTACTCTGTAGGGTGGTGGTCTGGTGTCTGTCTACCTGGGGTTGCTGCTGATCACTTTGATTTCAGACTACTATGTGATTAAGAATAAAGTCAACAAAGCATTAGGAGATATTCTTTGGATATCTTAGTGGAAAGTTGCCCTACCACGTGTGGGCAATAAGTTTCTCCATATGATTTGCTATGGCTGGACAAATAAACAAAACTTGCTCTAGTATTGTGCTGATACTCAACAGTGACAGTATCTGTTTGCACAGTGAACCAGAGACTTTTAGACTACTGTCTCGTGACAAGATGGATAGTAAAGGACTCACTTTTGTCCAATAAAACCTCAAGGTCAGACTGAAATTCTGCAGAGTTCAAGGATGAGCAGCAGCAGACTGGTCTCTGAGAAATCCTCCCTTTTACTGTAGAGTACACTTTGAGTCTTGTATTCTCTCTGATGGAGACAGAAGCCTAGAAATAACTCACACCAATAAGACAAGAAAGGATGGAGTTACAAATAAAAACCTTTAAATCTTACATAACATTTTTATTTCTCTTCTGTATGGAAACATGTAAACATCAAAATGATCAAGTCTGCAAAACAAAATGACACACTTTTGTCATTGCCAAAACATTGAGGGTAGGGACACACAATCAATCTTTTTGAGCTTCCAGTATTTCTCCTATATTTGTACTACTCCTCTGCATATTCAGTCATTTGCAGCCCAATATAGTGTAACCTTTGATCCCTGGTTGCAGGAAAGTTACTAATTGACTGTGTGTGTGTGGCCCTGTTCAACTCTGAAGAAGAACAGAAGAACAGTTTTGGCAAAGGGAATTAATATCAGAGTTGAGAAGGTCCAATAAAAACATGAAATTTTGATGTAAAATTTGAAACTAGTCAGTCTGAAGCTACCAACGAACAGAAACGGGCCAGAAAATCTTTAGCATGTGACTACAGCTGCGTATCGAGGCTAAATGAATACTCTATGTGTTTAGCAGCTTCCTGCTGATAAACATACACTTTAGCCAAGAAATAGAAAACACAGTTAAATCAACTTCAAATATATTCAACTAATTTAAACAGAGAGAAGCACAATCGTGTCACCAATGGAGTTTGGTGCCATCTAGTGGCTGGATGAATTAATCGACCTTCAATGAATAATTTTCAACAAAATACCAACTTCTAATTCTACAGAATAAAGTACACTTCCCAATTCAAATAAGACCATTTCATTGTATGTGCTGTTGACTCATCTCTGTGATATTGTAACAACATTTATTACTATTTTTAAAGACAATGTTTTTTTTTTTACATAAAGTGCTCTGCCATGTGAAATAATTTGGTCAAGTTTACAAACGTGACACAGTCGCAAATAAAGCTTTTCATAAAAAAATAATAATAACAGTGATAATAATAATAATAAAATTTCAATTGAAATTAATTTTAAGATAATTTTTATACATTTTCATAAACTGTCAAACAAAAAATGATAAATGTAGGTTTTTAAAGATGGCATTTTCATGGGGTAATAATCAGAATGAAATTTTTACAGCTCATGTTTATACATCCATTAACATTTGGCTTAGTATCCCTTTGTGAGCTGCAGAAAAAAAAACACGTTTTCTTTTCTCTTTGTAGCCATTAACGTTTTCTTTCACTGTGGCTTTTGTTGGTTACATGTTTGATTGTCTGATCAGCAATGGAATGAATCGCCTAGGAAACAACTCGCGTTCAGTGAAATGAGGAGGCTGCTTGTGTTGGCTGAATCCCTCTCTCACAAAGAATGTGCTTTCTTTGACCTCAAAACGTTCCAGGGAAAGTTTGATGTTTCTGGGTCAAGTTTTGTCCCACTTAAGCTGATAATAAACAAACATATTGTTTATTGTATTCTTTCTGTGTCTTTTTTTACGGTTCTAGGCTTACGTTGCGTTTTATCCTTCTCCTATTTCGACACAAAAATTTGATTCAAGAGAGTTTAGATCATTTCCTGTACATATTTTAATGCAAAACCGAAAGCAGATACCATAATCCACCTTTTTGTAATTGAATCCTAGAATAAACTGAACAGTTGCAGGAATTTTCAAGGCCTCAGATGTTTGCCGGAGAACATTAGTGAAAAATCAACATAGCAGCAGACAGGCCCTGACCCTGAAAGCCACTCTAGGTTGTAATTCTGTAACTGCAGAAAAACAATGATCTGTAACTTTCCCTGAAGTGTCCTGTGCGTTTTGTCTACAGAACAATGTGACACTGACATGTGTGCTGAAAACATCCCAGTCTGATTAAACAGTAACCCTCAGAGGGAGGAGTCTCTGCACGTACAACCGCAAATGTCCATCCCTCTGTGAGGGTTTGCTGACCTGACGTGACAGAAGCACAGCATGAGCTCAGGTGAAGGTAAGGCGTGAGTTTATTTGGTTGTTTTACATGCTTGTCGTGTGGCTTTACTGTATCAATAATCCCATTCATGTCTATCCGGTTTGTTCTTTTTTTTTATTTTTTATACCCACATATGTTCTCCATGCAGCGCTCTTTTTGTTTGTTTTCCCATTATTCTGTTAGTCCTGCACAGGAATAATGCCTTAAAAAAACAGCTTCACTTGATTGACTCTGATTACATTCACAGTTGCTGAAAAATATTTGTACATGTTGCTAATTGGACTTTTGTTTTGTGTTTTTTTTAAATGATACCTATTTGAAGTACAAACTCCCCAGCTGTACATAATATTAGCTACCATTGTATTTGGGCTTCCCCCTTACATAAGAATTGAAAAGGAGGTTTATGAGAGGAAAAGCAAACAGTGACCCATTAGCTGTCTAGAGGTGCCTGAGTGGAGTGACACTGATCCGTTGAAAGAGCCGAACATTGTTTAGCATTTGTAACTCTTAGCTCTGTCAGAAAGGCAGAAATTTTGTTTCAACACCATGTTGGACTGTTAGATAAGGCCACAGTGACAGCTCAGTGTGACACTGCTGGCATTTTCCTATCACCTCCTTTCATGTGGAAGACAAATACAAATGTCCACAGCACCTCGCAACAGTATTCAAACCAACTATCACCCATTTTGTCACAGTGCAGCAACAAGCTTTAATCGTCTTCACTGGAATTTTTACATGACAAACAAAACAACAAAACAAAAAGCACGGTAGATTACCTGCGATTAATATTCTTCTAATCTGGATACCCCTCAATTGAATCTCATGCAATCAAGTCAATTAAAAAGTAAATTGATTCGTTAATGTGAGTAGTTTCATTTCAGTGTAAATTCCAGCTCCTCTATGAAAGCCTCAAAAGGATCAAAGTGTAAAATGTCAAAAGAGCAACCCAAGTCTGGATGACACAGCATGCATGTTCTTTATACTCTGTTTAGACACATTTTTTAAAACATTTTGGCCAACATATTAAACTTTGTGTGTGGTGGGAAAATAACACTGCACATTCCCCAAACATATTATCCACATCACACAACAAACAGCTTGATCCGGAACGCTGCTGCTTGTGTTCTCACTAAAATTAGGAAGATAAAGAACATTACTTCTTTCAAAATCCTGGCTCACTGTAGCTCAGAGAATGTATTTTAAAATGCTGCTGTTAGCTTACACATGACTGAATGGTTTAGCACCACTAAACCAAGACCCCTCAGGGCTCCTGGGTCTCGTCTGCTCTGCATCCCCTGAACCAGAACCAAATGTGGAGATGCAGCATTCAGCTTCTATGCACCATAAATCTGGAGCAAACTTCCAGAAAACAGTAAAACAGCCAAAACACAGAGTTCCTTTAAATCAAGACACCCACCTTTGGAATCATAGTAAATTGAACATTGACTAACATACATGATGTGTACAATTCTGATGATGGTACTTGTCAAAATGTAAAGTTTATTTGGTTGCATGTTGTTTTTATGACTTCTTATTCTTGTGTTTTTATGATGTAAAGTACTTTGACCTACCTTGTTGCTGCAGTGTGCTAACCAAATAAACTTGACTAATTGATTGATTCAGCCTTATTCCAAGTTATATTAAATGAATATTTTCATTAAGCTTCTACACACAAGTACTTCATTGTGACAATGTGGAGCAAAGTTTTTGAAATTTTTTGCAAATTTATTAAAAAGAGAAAACTAATATTTGGCTAAAGAAATTCATCACTCCTGGTGAAAACAGTCAGATCCAGAAGAAGGGTTTCAGTGCTGTCAGTCAATGTTGCTCATTGTGTTAATGGCGGAGAAGCAACTTACTGTTCCAGGAAAACGGTCATCATCGAATGCTACCTAGCCTTAGCATTTATGGCAAGCTATGTTGTGTTGAGCCAGCTTTAGCACAGCAGAGAGCAAGGGGAAGCGCTTGCTCTCTGTGATTGGCAGCGCTGAGATCTTCCCTCTGGCTCTGATTGGTTGTTTCTGACTGAGAGGTGTATTCTGAAATTAGTAATGGGAGCACTGAGCTGGAGAAGAGCTTAATTTTTCACAGACTATTTGACTTACTCTCATGAAATGATGATCATTTTAACAACTATTTATATGTAAAAAACATGTTTTATAAGTTACAGACTGCAGCTTTAATCTTATTGATAATCTGCAGGAAGACTTTGAAATTGATGTCCACAGATGGTCTCTGTATAATTTGACTGAATTTGTTCTGTTAGTGTTTAACCCCACCATATGAAGAGCATAGCTCCAATCTAAATCCAGATATTTCCTGATTTATTTTAGGACACTGCTCCTCCAACAGAGTTTATATTTTCAGATCTCTCCAGGTGTTTAGAAGGGACAAAGACCAAAGATTACGAAATAATGTCAATCCCAGTTTTATGGAGTTATACTTGTTCGTCAAAGTCAGCATGTATTTTGGTGGAAGCTTAGATATGACCAGATGTGTAAGAATGAGGCTCTGCTATTAGGTAGACAAAACCAGAACCTTAAGGTCCAGTTAGCAGCATTATCGCATCATGGTTGATACAAAATGAGTGTGTGTGTGTGTGTGTGCGTGCGTGCGTGCGTGCGTGTGTGTGTGTGTGTGTGTGTGGTGTGTGTGTGTGGTGTGTGTGTGTGTGTGTGTGTGTGTAGTGTTGCAAGCTATAATTTTTGAAAGTGCTGGTTAAAAATTTAAAAGGTAAACTATGTTATGTAAATCCCCTTATCTTTTCATCTGGAGATGTGAAGATAAGGAGTTTTATAATGTGAGTTTCATGCACCTAAAGTCATTTATCTCCTGTGTTCTTTGTTTTTCATGGTATGCTGGAAGTCGTCATGTTGACAGAGTAAGTCACCTTTCTTGTTTGTTCCATTTGTTCTAATATATTCTGAACACTAATTTACTGTCAAGCTCTTATTAAAACATCAGTTTTGGGTTATTATTAATTGAAAGAAAAATGGCTTAGTTAGACAGTTTGACTAGTTCTTTTCACAGAACATAACAACCAGAAAAGGACTGTACAGAAAGAAAACGTTTTGCATCATATTACAATATCTGTAAGCAGTGTATTATTTGGGTTAGCATGAACATCAGGGTTGCCGTACACTCGACTACTATGACATTTCATTTACATTTCATTCATTCTTGTCCTAAAGAAAATTTACATTTGATCCAAAAGAGGGAATTGATAACCCTGCCATGGTCATCACAGACTGTACAGGTATGCAGCATTTTAAAAAAAAAACCTGCTGCACAACATCTCATAAAGAAGACTTGCTCTTTGAAACTGAGCATTTCTTCCTCTTTTGAATCAGACTCTGTGTGGATTCCCAGACCACGCGTGTGTGTTCTTAAAAGAGAAGAAGGGGAGACCTATGGCTTCAACTTGCGGGTGGAAAGAGATCGCCATGGACACGTGATTAGAAATGTGGTTCTAGGGGGCATCGCAGCACGGGGTGGCCTTCGAGATGGAGACAGACTTCTAGAGGTCAACAACTGCTACGTTGATGACGTTCCCCACGCTGAGGTAAGTTCTCCTGAGGTCACTCACTCTTGATTTGAGGCGAATCAAACTTTCTATCTTTATCTATTAGGTTGCGAGGAAGATTAAGCTTAGTGGACAGCAATTATGCATGTTGGTGCTGGACGGCGAGGAGTATGAGCAGGCTGTGGCAGGAGGTCAGGACCTCAAATTGTTGTCTGGGATCCTCGACGAAGAACCCTGCAAGCCACCCAGACTCTGCCACATCACCAAGGAGCTTGGCTCAGGTCTAGGTATCAGCTTTACTGCCTTGGAAGGTAACTCATCTCCTGGCAATCACAACCGGTCCAATGTTCAAGATTAGATAGCTGTTTTGTTGAGGTTGGCTGATTCTCCGGTGTCTGCATCGAAGGAGAGAAAGGTCGCTTCTCAGTGAACCTGGTGAAAGGTGGCGCGGCTGAAAAGGCGGGAGTCCGCAAGGGTGACCACCTGGTGTGGATGAACGGAGTAATGGTGTCCCAGCTTACACATTCTGCCCTCAGTCGAATGGTACCGTACCGTACCGTATGAGATGACGTTCAAATACTGTACAGTAATATGATACTATCAATTCAAAAATTATTGTTTCTGTTTTGTCATAGATGAAAAAATGCGGAAACAGCATCACAATCCTGGTGATAGACAGTGAGAGTGAGAAGATCTACATGCAGAGGAAGATGCCCATTTTGCCGGCCATGGCTGCATCCAACAAACTGCCCTTCAGAGCCAGAAAGCTCCGCCTAATCTCTGGGCCAGAAGGATATGGATTTCTTCTCCGGCTGGAGAAGACACCATCAGGACACACTTGTGAGAAGAAAATGGTGCAAGCTGAAATTTGAGGAAACTTTGCTTGCCTTCTTGAGGTTTAGGTTTGTTTTATTCAACAGATCATGTTCTGCGTGAGGTGGACAGCGGCAGTCCAGCAGAGAGGGCAGGTATACAGGATGGAGAGATCCTGCTGGAGGTCAATGGAGAGTCAGTGGATTCGCTCAGACATGATGAGATTGTGGAAAGAGTGAGACTAAGTGGAAAGCAGGTCTTCATCACCACAATCAGCCAGTCTGGGTTGGGATTTTACAACCAGGTGAGAATCTTTTATCTCGTCCTCGACGGGATCTAGAAGTCTTGGGCAATCCCTAAATTACAGATTCTTGTAATTTCTCAAACTGATCTAAAGGAATTGTGCAACGGGTTTGAGGAAAGGCTTTATGGATTTTGAATGGATATTTAAAATATCTTCTGTTTAAGAAATAGATTATAAGAAGGCCATTTACCATTTGAAACAAACTACCAACAACAAAGTGCCTGAAAGTCCATTCATATTCTGACCAACCATCCAAGCAATTTTTTAAATAGGCTGTACAGAAAAGTTGTAAAAAATTGCCAAACGCCAAACAAAAACTTTGTGAAACTGATAGTAGTTACTCAGACACTGAATAACTATTATAGGCGATCACCGTATAACAGAAGAGTGTGTTTAAAATGAGACCATTGACAAATGAAGGGATCAGCACAGAGTTCAACAACAGATTTCCCAGCGCTGTAACGTATGTTCACACCACGTTTACTTTCCATTCCTCGTTTTCTTTGGTTTCTTCCTACAGCTGGGCTTGTCTCCTCTTCTGTTCTGTGACAGTGAAACAGCTGAGAAAAAAATGGAGGAAATTAACGTTGAGCTATCTCCAAAGGGAAACAATGACTTGAGCGGCTCTAGACTCTGCACAGTCGAAAAAGATCCGCTTGGATTCGGCTTTCGTCTGGACTCTCTCCCGCAGAGACGCGGGACTTTCATCAGTGAGGTGTGAACCAGCACATTTGTACTTCTCTGGCACAGATGAGTTTTGTAAGATTGACAATTGTCTTCTGCTGTAGGTGGGTTCTGGAGGTTCTGGACAGAGAGCAGGACTGGCTGTGGGAGATGTTGTGCTGGAAGTTAATGGCAAAAATGTAGAAGAGAAATATCTGGCTGATGTGATTTCTCTGGTGAAAAATGGAGGGAGCTGTATTTCTTTATTAGTTATGGACCGGACAAGCTATGACAAACAGAAAGAGAAAGAGAGACCAGCGTCAAATGTCACCGACAGCGAGGTGAGGGAATCATAAATCCAATAATGATCAATTATTATTGAGCACTACCCTTACTGTGCGTTATTGTTTTATTTCAGCTGGAGGAAGACAATTTTGAGATTTCATTTTTGTGAGCATGAACAATTTTGCAGACTTTCCCCAGCACTATTCACCTGTTTGAAGACTTTATGAAGAGAACTGAAGATGACAAAAACATTTGCTTTTGTCATAGCAAAGGGAGCTCTATCACACCCCAGGGATTCGAAACAAATCCAAACAAAACTGACAAGACAAGCAAAAAATGAATCGGTTTTAACAATATGGTATTTGTAATGGCATGAGAATGCCATTGTGTTCAGTATTATGGGTTAAGGAGCGTTTTGGTCTGATAAATTACCTCGATTTAATATAGCACTAGAATTGCTTCGCAGCAACCATCAGAGGAAACAAACGCTTCACACATTGGACAATAATTTATTAAAAGCGATTACAAAAGTGATGATAAATATTTGAAAGCACTCTGGGAAAGTTATATACTAGTATTTTCTGAGATTGTAGCAAATAAGGTGGTGGTGAACATTACAGGGTTTTTTTACTCTGTTATTAAATGCATATAGCTTCAGTTTAGCTTGTGTTATGTCACTGATATTACAGATACTGTTGTGTGAAATTACAATAAATAATTAAATTCCTTCACCAAAGGTTAAACTTTTTCAAAAACTGTTATATTATTCTGATATTATATATGTTATCAACAATTTTTTTCCCAAGTTTAGCTACTTCCATGTTTTCAAAGTCGTCACTTGACTTTAGATCTGGTCAAACAATCTCTTGTCTGGCAGATGACATCCCAATGGCGTCAAGAACTTTTTTTTAAGTCTTTTTTTTAATTAAGGGATCTATAAATGTTATTTGAATAATTGTCATAGAGAATGATGATGGCCAAAGTGCCACTTGTGACTTCAGTGGTTGAAATCTGTAATGTTATCTCGTCTTAACTCAGCTGAAGCTGAAAGTGCTAGTGCTTGATTTTTTATTTATTGTCAGCGTAGAATCGGGAAGGTCAGAGACCTTTTCCAGCATAAGAAGCTGATTTAGTGTCAGGGACTGTGACAGGGGTCAGTACCAGTTTTGCAGGACCAAGGTGGGCCCCTGATCAGAGATGCTCACAGACGTAAACAATTCACTTTCAAAGCTGTTATTTTTGTGTATCATTTTCATCCTTTTTTATGTTTAAAACTTTTTAATGCAAATTAAACCATGATTTTGTTTATTTGTGTGTTGTCGAATTAAGTACTCCCTTTAAATAGACTCAGAACGTACATATTTCCCGACTTGAGCAAAATGTTCAAGAATCACCAGGACGATATTTTTTTGTTTGTTTTGTTTTTGTCACGTCGTGAATAATAGTGGAGACGTCATCAAAAGTAAATAGACGTTTCAAGAAGTCTTTATAAAAAAAACTGAGCAATGAAACCTGTTAGTGCAGGGTTTTTTGTTGTTGTTGGTTTAAAAAAAAAAAAAAAAAGCCACCAATACTGGAAATGGAAAGAAGCCAAACACTGCAGGAACATTTTACGTCCAGAAGATGGCAGCAATGAGAGGTAAATTGGTTTCTCGACAGGCAGCTGTGTGGTCAGCCGGAGTCAGCATCCGTCAACTGGAGGTGACATTCAGCGGGCTAGCCGAAAGGCGGGATATCTAAACGGCCCAACATGTCACGGCTTGTGCAGAAACTGGTGGCTAAAGTACCTGTTCTTGTTGATAGTGAGTCACTTTTGTTCCTGGGATTTAAATTTATTATACGGACGGTTGTAAGTTGTTTTAATCTTCCTTCAACGGATCAACGAGGGCGATGCTATGTTGACCTAGCCTTCAGATGAACGAAGTGGATGTCAGATAAAGTGTTTCGATTTTATAATACAGTTATTAGATGCTAATTTATTATTGCCCTTGCTGTTTTGACCCGTTAAATTGAGGTTTATCTGCATAATAAGTCCAGTCGCTTTCTTTTATTGACCGGAAGACACCTAGCTCAGCCGTTAATGTTGCCTAGCAAGTCACCGTTAGAGGCCTGAGCTGACTGGGACGTATGTCTCTCCCTACAGCCGCCGTCACCTTTTCCAAACCTCACCTCGCAACCTTCTGGCATTACGCAAGGGTTGAACTGGTTCCCCCGACACCCCTGGAGCTCCCCAGGGCCATTTGGGGAGCTCTAATGCTGCTCAACATTACCCGCCTGCCAAAGACCACTGTCAGGGTGCGTGAGAAACCTGCAAGGGACCGTCCATGTCGAAGCAATCTCTATTGAAGGAACGACACAACAACTTTGTTTTAGAATCTGATGAATCATATGACAGCGTCAAAAATTTTTTCCCCCTTTAGCTTTCTGTACATTCATTACATTTCCATTTTTAAGCTCAGCCAGTTTGAAACAGAAAAAATACCCGCAGCTGAAATCAGTTCATTCTCTCCCTCTCCTTTTTTTAGAGCTCCGTCCTTATTGACATGTATAAAATTACAGCTGATGTCCGAGAATATGTTGATTAATGAAAAAAAATGTAATGTCCTGATTTGGGTCTGTCGTGGCTGGATTTAGAACTTCATTGTTTGTATTGAGAAGGAGAGTGAGTGTCAATAACTCAGAGACAATGGAGAGTGCACTGATTCCACAAGTTATTGTGCATTAAAGAGAGAAAACACAGCAAGACACTTATGAGCCACAATCATGAATGCATGCTTGCCTTGCTTATTAATACAACTTTTGTGTTTCAGGATGTTGTGAGGAATGGAGTGGTCGCCACTGAAATTATGCTGTGGTTCTACATTGGAGAGTGCTTTGGCAAACGTGGTCTGATTGGCTACAAAGTCTGATATTTTGGGGCTGATGTTTATTTCTTTTTTTCTTTTGAGCGTTCTATGCTCAACCTACTGTTCTAGGAACTAATAAACTGTTATCTGATGTTTGTTTCAAACTTGTTGCCTCTTGTGTTTATGGACATGCTTTAATGTCATCTGCAGACCAATTAACCTGAAGTTCTACTGTAAAATTTTGTTTCAGAATTAAAGAATATAAGAGTAAGACGTGTTTAATTGATTTACAATTTCAGGATAATTCATAAAATTCTGTGTCAGGTGTAAATATTGTTGTGGATGTATTGATCTTGCAAGCTACTTCTGAAAATATAGCTATATGGAATAAAGATGTAGCTTAGTCCCAAACTGGGCCATGAAACTGGACAATGATCACAGAAACGTCAAATCTAAAGTATTATATTTTTTAAACTCTTGATGTTTAAGTATTTGTAAAATCTGGTAAAGAGCAGATAATTTTTTTTTTACAGTTACTAGTTTATTCTACATTCTTTTTGCACATGACTAAAAAGTATGGAGAAAATTTGAAATCTGATACGAGGCCAGATGATAAATATTAAGCTTTTCTTAATATGTAATTACTATTTTAGTGCGCTTTCTTCTTCCAGGCAGCAGGGGGCATTCGAAGTATTGCCAGCCTTTGAGTCTTTAAAATAGATTCAGTTTTTAGGTCTTCCCTGACTACTAAAGGAATAAAATGAATTTGGTCAGATCAGAAATACAAATTTTGACATATTGCCAAATTCTATAAGATTCATTGTGTTTGAGTCCATTTGATTTACAGCTTTGCATATAGTATTTGATCTGGAATCACCAATGGCACATCATGTATTTAGTTCCTCATTTAGAAACGTCAATGCCTTAATGCCTTTTTTATTTTTTTTACAAAAAGTTTTCTTCATATCAATTATATAATTATGCTGGAAAACATGCGTAAAATTAAATAGGAGTTAGTTTAAGTGAAAAATAAGCTTTCAGGGCTCTACATTGATGCGGACGTTACCAAATAACAGGAAAAACAAGCGATGAAATGAAGATGAAGCACTCTTCTGAATGTCCTAAAAGCAGAAAGCCAAAAAAACAAGTTTTTCTGTAGAACTCATCCGTTTGAAAAGAGTGAACATCAACATATACAAATAATTCACACAATTATAAAATGTGACAGGTCTCACAAAGGTTTTGATTAAACAGCTGGTGCTGACTGCGGTGTAAATTACGTGTAATAGATGTGAGGGAGAAACTATTTGTGGATTGTGTGCAATAAATGTCACCGTTAAAGTTATATTTACTTCACACTAGCACGTTGTAAAATTATAGGGATATAAGCTGCTCATGTTGATTTTGCATTTCAATATTGCTTCAATAAGCCATGTTTAAAGCATGATTTAACAGCACAGTGTTAAATCTAATACACTAAGGGATGGTGTTGAGTTAGAAAAATATACACACATCCTCCTTTAAACATAACTAGTAGAACTCCTTTAATGTGGTTTTGCTATAATTATACATTCCTGTAAAAATACACACTTCGATGCTGTATGCTATATGAAACAAAACGTGGATTTGTTCAGGGGGAGGCTGAGATGTCAGAGTTCACTTGACGTTGCAGATCTTCACAGACGTTCCGACTCCGAAGCCCGGGTAGACGGGCTCGACAAACGTGGTCTGAAACCGGTGCAGCAGCGTCATGGAGCTGCTGCCTATGCTGTAAAACGCCAGCACCCCCGCCGTGTGGTCCAGGTACACGCCTATTCTGGGCGAGTGCGGCCCGTTGACGGCTTTGTCCACCCGGTTGTGCCAGGCGGAGTATCCCGTGTCGGAGCAGAGGAGGCTCCAGGACTTGTCGTTGTATCCCAGCAGGCACAGCGAGCCCTTGCCCTTCCGGCTGATGCTCCTGTAGGCCACGCCGATGGAGAACTCCCCGCTCCACTCGATTTCCCAGTAGAAGCGACCGCCGGACAGGGCCTCGCGGCACAGCACCTGGGCGAAGCTGTCGAACCTCTCCGGGCTGTCGCTGTAGGGCTGCAGGTCTCTGGTGCGGATGACCTTTCTGCTGCCCTCGGAGATGTAGAGCTCTTTGTAGGCGGTGATGGGGTCCAGCTTCAGCTGGCAGAAGTCTGAACAAGGAGAACCGACATTTTCAACAGATTCCTCATTGGGACCAGACTGGCAACATGATTCAGAAAAAAAAAAAAAAAAAACGTAGGACGTTCTTACATTTGATAAAATCGGCTCTGGTCTTTGGCTCTGGAGGAGGAGTATTGTCCACTGTCATTTCTTTACCTGAGGACCAAAAAAAAAACACTGGTGAGTCACTCTAGGCTGAACACACCCACTCAGATGGTTCTGCTGCTTTGCTTTGATACGGATATTAACACTACAAGGTACCTGTGTTGATGCCATAGAGTGAAGTGCATGTATTCTCCCCTTGCTTGTTGAACCACTGTTTGCTCTCAGTACAACTGGAGGTTTTATGGGAGTATGTCTGCACCAGGTTTGCATATAAAGTGAAAAATAGCTGAATCTCAGTCAGATTGGACAGATAACATCTGTAAGCATTTTTAAGGTTTGGTAACAGATTATAAATTAGTTTTGAACCTCAGTTGTGACTGGGTTTTCTCAAACATCGCTGATCCAGGGTGCAATGTTGAATTGACCCAGATTTCCTTCATTTTGGAGGCTCAGCAGTTGGCTGATATACACATGAGAATCATGTAATCTGTCACGTAAGATCTGAAAAACAGCCACTGTCCCCTTTGCTCTGTGCAGCTCAGTTTGTTAAAACTGTTGCTTTGTCGTGACATTATAGTAAGAGATAGATAATCTGTGAAAAAAAACTTAGCTCCTCTGCCTTCTTCCAGTGCTCTCTACAGAAATACACAGCATGGTTAGAAACAACCAATCACAGCCTTAGTACTGTAAACTATGCTTGTGCACACGCTGCTCACATTCTTCCTTTTGTTCTCTGGCATGCTACAGCTTCCTTCCGATAGCAGAGCCTGGTGAATTCTTAGGCTAGTCACCGATGATGGCAGATAAACTGTTTTTCTGAAATGATAAGCTGTTGCTCCACCATTAGCACATTTAGCAGCACATACATGAGTTTGTTTGACAGCATCAAGACACTCCTCCTGACTCTGATTGGTTGTTTTTCATTTCATCAGACAGCAATCGTAGCACTAGGAAGAGGTGGAGGAGTTACATTTTTTAGTTTTACACGTTATCTGTCTCACTTTAGTTTTCCTGGAGAAATGCTAGTTCCCAGCATGATGCTGCCACCACTATGTTTTATAGCAGGAACATAGTGCTGAGGCTATCTTAGCCCCATCTGACCAGAGCACCTTCCTTTGCATACTTGCTGCCTCCTTGGCATGGCTTGTGGCAAATTGTAAAGACAACTTCTGATGGCTTTCCTTTAACAAAGGATTTCTTTTTGCCACTCTTTCACGGAAGACCCGATTTGTGCATGACTAATGGCTGCCATGGAGACAAATGCGCCGACGTGAGCTGTGGATCTTTGCATTGCAAATTGAAACGCACGAAATCCGAGTGGATTTGTGATGTGTGAAATAGCTCAAAGGGAGTGAATAATTTTTCAAAGCCTGTATGTTCATATGTGGGGCACCAGTTGTACAGTTCACTTGCTAGAGCTCACAGATATGATAACATCAAACTCAATAATAATTAACCTATGATGGCACTCACCTCTGTTCCTTCTGTCCAACGTCCGGCTCTCCGTCGTGTAGACTGGAACCTCATTCACTGTGAAAACAGCACACTGGGTTTAAAACACAGCTGTTTTCGAGGCTTTGTGGAAATGTTTCAGTCACTGAGCTCCGACCTGTTTTGGAAATTTTGAGCAGCTCCTCCCTGCCGAATTCCTCGAGGCGCTCTTTTATCTCCGCCACGGCCTTCCTAACGGCGGCAAAGGAGTAGTCGGGGTTGACGGTCACCTTGGGAATGAAGCCGTCGTCGGTCGGCGTGCACAGGTAGTTGAAGTTCTGATGGGAGGAGGCAAGCGAGAATGTCTCAACCAATTCGGTCAGAGATCTCAGTCGAAATCTGAAAAGAAAAAAAAAGTGCGTCGCACCTGCAGAAAATGGATGTGGTCTTCGGTGCTGTAGAGCTGCTTGAGGCCCGTCTCCTTCTTCTTGAGCTCGTCGATCTCCTGCTCCAGTCGCTCGATCAGAGCTTCGGCCTGGTTGAAAGCCGCCTTCTCGTTGATGCCGATCAGCTTGGTCACCTCCGACCTCATCCTCTCGATGGAGCGAATCATGTCCTCAAACATCTTCTGGCTCTCCACCATCGCTCTCTGGGCTGAGTTCTGCAAGGAAAAACAGTTTGGAGGTAAGATTTTGGTCCAAATTGTAAAATTATTGTGCAAGAATAAAAGAAGAGGAAGTACATGCTACCTTCAGTGAATCCACAGCAGTCTTGAGTTCCTCCAGCTCCTTTACCCTCTCCTGGCATTTTTGCTTAATCTCTGCTTGGGAAACTCCCAACAGTTTCTGGAAAATAAAGGAGGATTACAAATTTATCCTCTATGCTACAGTTTTTTTAGGCAATCCTCCCTCCCTGATAACTGTACAGTATTATCCTCCTTCATTGCATCATGCAGTGCTGCAATAAAGAACTCAAAACAAGCGATATTAACTCAGATTAGGAGAAATATCAGGAGTTCTCGCAGTGCGGGGGATAAAGCCTGGATCAGGACTGGCATTCTTTCTCATCAGAGAATATATCTGGGGAGGCCCTTTGGCAGGCCGGACAAAACCTCGCTCAAAGAAGCTTCTTAACGCGGCCCGCTTTTATCTCAGAGGGAGGAGAGGAAGGGGGGGAAAAAAAACTGCGGAAGAATTTCAGTCATGTCAGGAATGCCAAACTACGGCTAAGGAGATGTTTCAAGGTGCACGGTGGTAGAATAGGAGGTTTCTAATTCAGCTTTTACTCAAACCCGCCGGCCCCATTCTCTCCAAGATAAGCTTGAGGAATGTGGGGAATCTGGGAAGGGAGGGGGATAACATAAGAAGGTAGGGGTGGGAGGGTGAGAATCAGGTTGTAAATCTTTGCATGAGGGAAGCCAGGCAGCCCGTGGTTGTAGATGTTGCAATTACTTCACCGTGGGCTAAATATATATTCCCCGCCTGCTATTAAACCTCTCCTAGTGTGTATCAGTCACACAGTGGAACATCTTCCCACTGCAGTATC